TTATGATAATATATTAACTTGTTTTTAGGAGAGAATGTCGGAAGATGACTACAAGATGGGCAAGGTAAGTTACAATCAATTCATCTACAATCAAATGAAGTATACAAGTGATCCATTTGCAATGTTCTGGTAGTTTTGGTGCCATATCTCGAACAGCATACTAGTACTAGTGCTGTACGGAGCAAAAAATCTCTAGCGAAAAGACTAAACGGTACCTACAGCAAAATGCTTAGGATTGTCAAAAACGTGCACTGGTATCAAAAGGTACCAAACTACTATACGAAAATATACCACCAGTGAGTGCAACAATAAAATAAGAAGGTTGAGGTTTATCGGACACTACTATAGAAGTGAGGACGAAATCATACATCAGTTACTACTGTGCGAACCCACTAGTGGAAAAATAAGTCGAGTCCGTTCAACAAGAAACTACATTAACCAATTAATGGACGACACCCAGCTCGACAGGAAAAACCTGATGGTAGAAATGAAGAACAGGAAAAGATGGAGAGCAGTCATTGGAGCCGAGGGGGAACTCGACCTAGTCAGTGAGTGATCTCGAAATGGACCGTTGTTCTCAAATGCTTGCCAGTTGTCATTGCTTTCAACGTTACGCGTAGGACAGCCATGACAACACCTTATTTTTCTACACTAAAAACGGAACAACACTTGAATGGTATGAGAGCTTGAAGCATAATGCCTTATCCAAAACAAACATGGCTAAACAAATTACCGTAGTAAACAAACGGTAGTGCAGGTACATCAAAAGTCAAAATGATCACCTAAGTGTTGTTTAGTAGAGCTTGTAAGGAATTAGAACCGATCGCGAGTAATCGTCAAGCATTATCAAGAAATCCTGTATTCTTGTCATTACTGTCATATGCACACCTAGGCTAGGTATATTTAATGGATACGCCGCCTCTGCAAAGACTGTTATCGTTGTAAAATTATTCAAGGAGCCTAGCTTAAGCCTGTAACAGGAAAGAGAATATCTACATACGATAGGTGAACACCTGAAGCGTTGTCAGTCGGGGAGATTTTGGCGGTCTTTAGAACAACCATTCCTTTTTACCATGCTGCTGGTATGATATGGACTCGCAGTCAATACAGGCGCTTCTCCTCGAGGTCGAAGGTGCCCAACGGTACCTGGTACCACTGATACCTGATACGTTGGTGACGTTTCTGGTGGCCTTTGCTTTTGTTCGGCTTCAAGGGGCACAACCTTGCATTTTTGAGGGGTATCATTATCATTTTTGAAACGGAGTAGCGCACTTACAATTGTACGATCTTTCATGAAAATGGCAAAGCCGATATACGTCTGACAAGATAGCAAATTCCACGATGGCGCACTGATGACGTGTACTGTTTATTAGACTGGCAGCAACCATGGCGAACTGCCACGGTAACCACACATACAGAGAAACTAGCGGCAAATATAATATTTCTTGTAGGGAATTATTTGAATGTAAATTTGTTCCTTTCTCCGATGGACATTTCTGGGATAAAACCCGGGATAAAACCATTAGCCCGGGGTTTGGTAGGTCCCCGAATCAATACGTTTCTTAAGGCACTAGTAAACAATATCTCCCAGCAAGGTCATGGAATGGCCCTTGGGCGATCAATCAAAGGCTGTTATCCTAGACCTGTTTACCTGACAAATGGCAGCCATGATGTATGAAAGGTCCATTTGACTTCTTTTAACCGCGACGCCGGAAAATAAACATGCCATCAGGTTGCCACAAAAGAAGAGCTTCTGAGGGGCTCGGGTCAGGTTATTATGAAGGGTAGAAAAATGGGACAGAAGAAAGTCGTAGAAAGTAGTAGAATCTAAGCAATAAAACAAAAGAGAAAATCGCCAAAACCGTTGACAAGATACAAAACATTCTCCCGCAAAAGGCACCATGCACCCTGCTACTCGTCCTGATCTGACACTTTCAAAACATGTGCATCTGTATTGTTGGCAGTCAAAAGCGCCACCAATCGATAACAATAGACATTACACAAACTTGTTCGTAATCACATTACAGAAGTGTCAATCAATAAAGTTAGCATGTTATACGTACAAGCAAACGTATTCACCAGTTTTGCCGCGATACCCCATTGTATTCCCCTAAACCTGCTATGGTTGTTGTCTTTTCATATATGAATACTTGTAATATGTGATATATATGTTTATCTTTCTCTCTGCATCTCTGCAACACTACCTAATTATTTTCTACTTTACTGACAGATACCTTCATGAGTCGGCCCGCAGAAGAAGCAGCGCTGTCCATGGCAGTTGTTAGCAATGAAAGCGAACAAAGGAATAAAAATATACATGTCAGACCAGCTAGACACCTTAGCTCGCACATGCATTCTCACTCCCTTTAAAGCTTGTTAATAGTTGTAGTTAAATAGGTTACATACCCCACGGCCTTTTATCATCGAGAGCAAGTCCCTATCGCCGACGTATTGGGGCCCCAGCTATATGTATTGGGGCCACAGCCATCAAACGCCCAATATTTTAAAGTTTGAACGACCCCTTCAGAAATATACAATATACCTTCAACAGATTTAATGCACTGGGGAGGAGGCCATTTACAATCCGAGTCCAGAATCAAAGACCCCCGGTGCCTTGACTAGCATGCACATCGGCAGAACGTACTTAACCTGAGCGCAGTAAAGAACGTGATGTCCATAGCGCTTCTATAGTCCATGGGCCAGACCCCCAAATTTCACATATTGGTACCACCTGAGGGGGCAAATTCTCATCATGGTTTTTGAAAAGAAGGGTGTCTGTGGAATATTTTTTGATATGATAGCCGTTGCACATCGGTAGCTTTGACCTTGCTATCTGACCTTGAACTTTGACCTCGTATGAACCGCTTTCTTTTGCGCTTATAATGCAAAGGGGAGTGGTAAATAATCAAATATGGATATTTTTCAATGTAACTTCATGGACCGATAAAGCAGGAACCAAGGATTACAAAAATGTTAATTTTGTTTCGATATGTCTATTCTACAAGAAGTTATGAGCTTTCGAAATTCGATTTTTTTGTAAAAATTGGTAAAAAAATAGAATGTTTACTTTTCAAAACCTGTCAAATATTCAGATTACATGTTTGAGCCTGCTACATGCATTCATCTGACTTTTTGTATCATGTCCTACATTTCAAGCTTTAAATCATAAAAATCCGTCTATTCTATCCGGAGATATGAGTGTCTAAAAGTTCTATTCCCAAAGGCCTTATGTGGGGAAAACCGTTGCTAGGGCCGTTGCTAAGGAGGCACTTGGCTGCTTTCCCAGCAAAATGGAGTGCACACCATATGCAAAACTTGAAGAAAACTTCTATTGGAGGAAAATTATTAATTTAAAGGACCTTGGAAATCTATATTATGTTTCTATGGTAACCGTTGCTAGGGAAAATGCACCTCCCTAGCAACGGGTCTCTGAGTGTTAGTTCAGTATAATACAAATCAATTATCATTTCTGTTTGCATTCATTGCCAAGAGAGCAAATCACAGCAGTGCACATTCACAGTGTTTGCTCGTGAAGGACTCATATTCAGTATTAATAATTTATTCTTATCTAATCTAATGTTATCTAATCTTATCCAAGTACAAATATGTATTTTCTTAACATGTCATTAGATGTTTTCAAACTTCATCATCAAAAGCTGACCACTCTGATATGACAACTAGCGATGAAGCGTCATGGGTTTGAGCACGTGAAAGAGTGTGTGATGTTAGGACCCCCCGCCTCGCACATCTATTTTAATTTTTACTAAGCACTGTGATTTATGTAAGTTCTATCAGACTTTTGGAGTAAATCAATAAAGTAATTAGTAAAGGAAGCAATTTCAAAATCGTGAATTCGACTTTCGATGGGGTATTCTACATTGTACGTGTAAGATTGAATATGTCACATGCTGATTGTAAATTTCAGCATTGTTTTTTTTTTTATATTCCGAAACATGCAATCACAAGACGTGGTGACGTCGTACTATGTACTAGTTGCTGCTCCGTTTTGTTTTATCTCATGTGTGTGTGTGCTAATTTTGTCAAATCTCTGTTTATTAGCTACGGGCGCTCTTTATTTGCATCCGTATGATTTGACAGTGCATTCATAAAGGAAGTGTGCATATTCTTCAGTTTTCAAGTGTTACCCTTATGCTATGATAGCTGACTAAATGCTACACTGAAACGAATTCAATAATAAAATACTGTTTGAGTTGACAGCCTCCGTTTCTTGCTTTGTTATTCTCTCCAAAACTCAGGAAATGCCCGGCAGTGGCTTGAGTGTTCCCGAAATTTGGATTAAATAGTGGGGCTGGGAACCTTCGTCCAACGTCCAACACAGGTCGCCGCCTCTTTGAATTGTGATGAAAGAAGTTAACAAGAGTTCTTTCAAGCCATCAATACCTAAAATTCTGAATTGGTTTTATGGTCTTCTAAAATCTATTACATCAGTGATTTAAAAAAATAATGTTAGCATTAATTAATTACTATTTAAAAGATTTCTAAAACAGTTTACATCAGAAAGACACACCGGCACCGTAGCCATTTGTCAGGCTGAAATCTAGTCTCAAAACTTTGTTGTTTATTTTGCCCTATGTTCATTATCCTTCTCTCTCTCTCTCTCTCTCTCTCTCTCTGTGGTCAGGATTTGAACTGCGTCAAGACATGATATTCAGACTGTCAGTTGGTAGCGCCTTAGCCGTGGACGACTCTGGTACACAGTAGCGCCTTAAACCCCCCACTGTTACACTACTCCCCCGTTTTCTTTTCAAGATTCGTCCTCGAATCTTCCTAATTCGACATCCCTGGAGCGGCACTCTTTGCCAGAACTCCCAGGGCTCAAAACAAACATTATGAAAAGATATATACAAATAAAACTAGCTATCATTACATAAATTTAACTTTAATAGTGACCCAGACACGATTTCACTAGGCTAGCGAAACTATGGTGCGAAACCCATTCGTGTCACGAGGTGCTCTGGGCACGAGAACGCCGACGCGTGACCTCCTGACCTCTACAGAATCGTACGATAGACATCCGACATGGCGCTGCAAGATTTCTCTCCGCTCCCCGTCCTCATAGCCGCCTCTCTGGTCGCCCTGTCCGCTGTCATAGCCGGATACTTCTTCTCAAGCAAGAAGAAAGGTCCACCTAGGGCCTTACAGGATCCAACCGTGAAGTATCCCTTCAAACTCATCGATAAGGAGATCGTGAGCCATGATACGCGTCGCTTTAGGTTCGCCCTCCCCTCCCCCGAACACGTACTGGGCTTGCCGATCGGGCAGCATATCTACCTGAGCGCGCGCGTGGACGGGGAGCTGGTTATCCGGCCCTACACGCCTGTATCCAGCGACGACGACAAGGGATATTTCGACCTCGTCATTAAGGTATTTTTTTCCTTGTTCCTAACATTTACAGATACAGAAACTGTATGTTGTGTCACGCCGAAAGGGGCCCGCTGAATTACTAAAGGTCGTTACACTGGTTATGTCCTTGGTTGTACAGTACATACAGAATATTTCAGATAATTGCACCATTGGTTTTGTGATTTTGTGTGGTTTTTTAGCTCCTCATGATCATTTTTATTTACCTGGGACATTATTTTCATCGTTTTCTCTACACAATCAGAAGCCATTGACTGAGTTTGTCTTCTGGTTCTTGCTGTTAACTTGAACATGTTTCATAGATTGCTTTCCTGCATGCCCTTTTTTTAAGGCGTAATTAGGCCTTTTTATTCTTCATAATCTGTAGGCTGCCTCCCAAAATCATTGTAATGCGTGATCAGTTCATTAGCTGTGATATGTTCCTAATTAAATCTGAGAATTTAACGTAATTCGTAATCGGGGACCAAAATGTTGCATAATTTGTGATCACTATCCCCCATGCAGGCCTTCCTCTAACTTTCCGTCTCATCCCCAGGTATACTTCAAGAACGTCCACCCCAAGTTCCCAGCCGGCGGGAAGATGTCTCAGTTAATACCATTTTACACCTAGCTGCTACCAGGGTTCGGGAAGCGGCTGGAAAGAGTAGAAATTGGCCAAATAGATAGACAAATGTAGTCCTGGGTGTCTTCTAACTTTCCGTCTCATCCCCAGGTATACTTCAAGAACGTCCACCCCAAGTTCCCAGCCGGCGGGAAGATGTCGCAGTACCTGGAGAACATGCAGCTGGGAGACTTCATCGACGTGCGCGGGCCCAGTGGCCTGCTGGTCTGTAAGATTTCAGGCCTAGTGGTAGTTTGGTATCTTAGTGTCTATATATAATGTAAATTCGTCTTCCATTGCCTAAAAAGAAGTCAAACCCAGTAAAACTAGTACCATGTAAGTTGTAGAATATAGTATAAATTTGCTAGACGTAGATATAGTCTCACATAACACTGTATTTTCTTTATGTTGTTTGTAACTGCAATTAGTATTTGCAATAAACTTTCATATATATATATCTTACTATAAACGAGATCCAAACAGTTTGATTACTTCTGCTGAGCCGAGTTTATTAATCCGTATGTTAACTCTACTAAGTCTGTCCAAATAGTCACTTACAGATTACCATAACCGTTCCAGGTCTACGACGGCTGTGGCCAGTTCAGCATCAAGCCCGACAAGAAGTCGCCGGCGGTCCAGAAGACTGCGAAGAGCGTCGGGATGATTGCGGGCGGGACGGGGATCACTCCGATGCTCCAGCTGGTCCGTGAGGTGTTGAAGAACCCGGAGGACGAGACAAACCTGTATCTCCTGTTCGCCAACCAGACCGAGAAGGACATCCTGCTACGTCCTGAGTTAGAGGAGCTGGCGGAACAGTACAAGGACAGGTGCGATGATCCTAGAAAATATTGTTTTTCATCAGATCTGTTCTATACACCATTTCACGGTCCTGACTATTGTTTAAACAGCTATCAAAATGCAAGTACCACTAACTAATAATGACTTGCAAAAATTACATCATGCAAAGACTGCACCATTGCACAGTCCTGTCAGACTATTGTAAACAGCTATCAAAATGAAAGTACCACTAACTAACAATGACTTGCAAAAATTACATCATGTGAAGACTGCACTTGCTGCCACTGTGACAATTAAGTTCTGCAAACATGTCCATTTTCCTTAGACCATGAAACTTTGCTATACCGTGAAGACAAAATGAAGTAAGAAGGTAACATTTGCAAAGCTAATGCATAATGTTTACCTTCGCATTTGGTCTGCTCTGTTACTCAAACCATGTAGGTTACAAAATCCACGCTCAAACACATTCATATATATGGTCAGACTGGAGTCAGTCTAAATCCCTTCTGCTGTAATATTGCAACATGATGTAACCCAACACTAGTTACCATGGTAACAGACAGTCTGGTTCAGGTCATTGACCTTTTTGGTTTGGAGAAGAAGAGGAAACGTAGCAAAAACAGTATGTTTTCCTTTGGTTAAAACATAATGAAAATTGCTGTGTTCCACCCTGTTGTAGGTTCAAGCTGTGGTACACCCTGGACCGTCCTGAGGAGGGTTGGAAGTACAGCGAAGGGTTCGTGGATGACGTGATGCTGGGGGAACACATGCCACCGCCCGGGGACGACACCCTGGTCCTCATGTGCGGACCTCCGCCCATGGTCAAGTTTGCCTGTCTACCCAACCTGGACAAGCTAGGATACACCTCCGATCGACGCTTCGCTTACTGATGATGCCAGCCAGTGTTCTAGCCAGCGTACGGCTTTCTGAAAATTTTCCCCGATCCGTTATCTTTGACAGACAAAATTAAATTGGTGTGTAAAGATATAGAAAGAGATTTCATTAGATTAAGCTGCTGTCAAGTCTACCAGCAAAATTTGACATCGGTGTAATAGGTATATGAATGAGTATCTGAATGAGGAAAAATCAGGTAGCTCCTATTAAACCCCATTCCCACTAGGTTAACTTAACAAGGCTTTGATCCGGCTTGGATCCAGCTCAAAGCGATTCAATTCAGTTTGATCTGGACAATTTTATCCTAGTGGGAAAAGGGCCTTACTCTGACTAGTCAGACCACAAGAGTTACTGTTGTGTTTGGGGAGTGGCAGTATCTGCTTGTATCAGATAGATGAAGGAACAGATAAATTGATTGTCAGAAAGACAATTGAGATCATATGTACCAAATCAATTGAGATTATATAGTTGTGTGAGATTTTCCATTCCAGGAGACTACAATATCTTACTTAAAAATAAAAGGCTATGCCAATCTATTCAGTTATATAGGAATTCTCTAAGAATTTCAAGATGATTGCTAAAGCTGGTGGAGGCCTTAGGAATATAATATATTAGTACGGTAACAGCATATCAGACAGAAAACATCTATATATGCAAACTTCAGTGCTTAATAGATGAAGAGCAAGTAATGCAAATTCTACTCTACATAATTTCAATATACATTTGTACATTCTACCTATATTGTTTACAGCAATATGGTAGGATACAAAGAAAGTAACTGCTATGGTGCTACCTGTTCTAGTGAGATGTGTTGTTTTTTGGTGTTTATCTTGTTGTTTTTCTGTGTCTATCTTGAAGTTTTTTTGTTGTTGGTTTTTTGGCTATCTAGAGAGCTCTCTTTGCTATGAAGTGTGCGCAGTCCATTAGGCAGGGTGCTAGTGCTTCGCTGATCCATTTCAGGGGGCCTGTATGGGGCGACCGACAATGCCTCACAATACATTAAGGATTGCTACCTACATATTACCCTAAACTCAGGAAGGGACTGGTAGGCTTTAAGCAAAAACTTTTTGACACCTTAATGATATATTATATATGAAATTGAATATCTTTCCCTTCGATTTATAGGAAATAGATTTAGGTCACCTACACCTTATGTAGAGTGCATGCAGAACCCCATTTGTACTTAAAAACAACAAAGGCACAAGTGCCTCCAATGTTTACGTAGGAAAGATTACACTTGAAGGAGAGAGACTGAGACCTGCATTTGGCTGAATTCAGAGCTTTTAATTGATGTAAATGAGAAAAAGACCTCTGAGTGCCATGTGTGGAGAGAAAGCCATTGGCGCAAGTGCTGAGCCTGTTGCATTGTGGGAGGGAGGGTGGGTAGCTAAAAGACCGAAAAATGGCGGCTCCCTTTCAGTTGGAAATTGAACAGGCTAATGCGCATGCGCGCTGGCTTCCCCTTACAGGGGGGCGACCCATCTCCTTAATCTCTAGTGCGATCCCCGGGTATTACGCCTATTGCGCAATCCCAACATGATAACATTGTATTGGGTCATTAAGCCTTGTTACCTTATGTTGATTTTCATTAATTGTGTTTCATTCTCAAATGTGCACTAATGCTGTAAATTAATTAAAACTGTAAATTGATTAAAAGTGGAGAAAAATGTGTCATTATCTAATGATTCAAACCACGATTGATAATTGAAAATTTACTCATGAATACTAACCTGCTGTGTCGACTTTCCACCCTCCAACTTGACCCTAGGGTCAATCTGTGTTGACCAACCCCTCTCCTGCAACTCCACTATATTCAAATATCTATGAACATAAATAAACACACCCAAAAGGCCAAAATAGTACCTCTGATTCCTAGATGCCTATTCTGTAAGTACTCCCTCTGAAATTGTTTACATTGGCCCTATTGTATCTACAGAACCATGAAGTGATATGCCTGAATGGGTAAATCTCCAAGCAGATCCTGGGGTGGCAAAAGACAGTATCAAATTGGCCAGGCCACTCAAGGGTGGTGTATGGACCCTCTCTGGCGAATGGATACTGCCTGGCCAATTTGATACTGTCCATTGCCACCCTAGGATCTGCTTGGAGATGATGAATGGATAGGTTTATACGATATCAGGCACGGTTCTGAAAAGTCTCTGGCTTATCCAGGACCGTGTCTGAGCAAGGTTCTGGATAAAGAAATAAAGCATGGTTCTGGATACAACTGTAACAGTCTTTTTGGCTCCGATCCAAAAAGCCAGCTGACGACTAGTCCACTATTTCATGGGGGTGTTGAAAACCACAATATAGAAAAGGGCAATTTTTGACATCGCTTCACACTCAAGTATAAAGTCATTTATGTTATAGCCACCCTAAAATACAAAAATATCACCAAAAAAAATCATTTTAAAAATCCCATCAAGGAAGGTTTTTTTTAATTAAACTGTTTATCCCATGTTTACTTTCTGTAGGGTCTATGCGCAGGCGCCGACTGGTCTTGTCCAAAATCTGGTTCATGACCATGACATGATCAGGCCGTGTAACAGTGACCTGTTATCGCCACCTCATATATATATTAAGTTAAAATATCAAGACTTAACAAAAAAATCCCCACAAAGAAGGCTTTTCAATTATTAACTGTTTTACATTTTTGTAGGGTTTAGGCTTAGCCGGTCCCAACCGGTTGTGTCCAAAAACTGGTTCATGACCTTCGCCTGATCAGGACAGGTGCCAACTAGCCTCCACCAGGCCTTTCTACGGGAATACGGTAGTAGAATTCTGCAAAAAAAGAGAGTAAAATTGGCCAAGAAAGTCCGGCCACGGGGAGGTACTAGTAGTTTCCTTTCCCTCCCAACTGCGCGGCCAGTCAAACCTACGAGGCGGCCAAACTCCCCTGCATGGCAATTATTCTCCTAAATATAGCCAGCGTAGTTAGTCTGGAAGAGACTAGGTGCCAACCGGTTGTGTCCAAAAACTGGTTCATCGTGACCTTCGCATGATGAGGACATGCCCCCAGGGAACGTCTGTCAGGGAGTATATATAGTATCAGGTGTTTTGTTTTTGTAGGTGTTGTATGGAAGCCACGGTATAATATTAGACGATCTTTTGAGATTCTTCAAGAGATTCTAATATATAAATTGACATAGATGTGATTTGAGACTCTCCAAAGGTAAATACGGTATAGCTAGGTGGTATTTAATCAGTGAGTGTCTGACGAAGGACATTCTACAACAGGCCTTGTGATGAAAGCTTCTTGCTGTGACCTACTCACATGCCCCGGGTCAAGGGAACATGTATTGTGAGTGTACCGGCTAGCTCCGGTTCTCTGCATAAACGTCGGTGCCGCAAGGAAATTGCAAGGATTCTCGCACACACGACAACAACCTGGCTCAGAGGTGAGAGGGATCCTCCTTGTTTTTTTTTAATCTTTAGAAACGGACTAAAATTAAAAACAAGTAGAATCCTAGATTTTATACCTCCGGGTTTTTTTTTATTGTATGCTCTTGCATGTTGTTTGTTATGTATAGTGGATGGTGTTAAATTTTATGTGTTAGATTTAGCGTTCCAGGTTGTGTTAACACAGGTCAACATTTTCATCTGCAGCTTATAACATCTTATAAAGTTGTTGTGTGGCAAGGTGAAACACTTTACTCCATAACTACACCATTGTGAACCTTGGACCCTGGTGAAACACTGGTAGATAATGTTAATCTCCAAGGCGATCTTTTTGTGGCAGCAAAGACAGAATCAAATTGGCATGGCCAGGCTGTATCCATTGGCTAGACAGATACGATTTCGTCACCCAAGGGTAGCAAAAACCCCAACATCTAAGGGTGGCGAAATGAATGGCAAATGGATGCAGCCTGGCCAATTTGATTTTGTGTTTACTGCCACCATGAAGATCTGCTTGGATATGGCACATTTTATGGGGTCGTGTAGTGTATTAAATGTCAGCGGAGTGTACATATCCTGAGTTCGAATCCTGCCATGTCACAGATCTTGGCCATTGAATTGGGAATGGTACTTTGCAGTACACGACTGTCCTCACTTCCCTCAGGTGTCAATGAGTACCTATAGCTTCGGTTAGGGACGTCCATTGAAAAGGGCATTAAATGGAGGTCCTGTGTTTGGGGAGAGCAACACCCTTTGCACGTTAATTAAGATCTCACCAAATGTCGCTTAATTTCCTGAAAACTTAGACATCTCATGGAGCTGCATGGAAGCTTTTGTTGGTTTCCAATACTTTAGGCGGAGTATCCTGATAGAGTGACATCATGGTATTCGTGCGGCGGGCCACGATGGGCCTTTTACGGCTATCAGGAAGCAAGATTCACAGGATCAATGAGCTGAAACAAGGTAAAAACACTAGATAATTTTCATGTTCATATCAGTGCTTGTATACGATACGGAAAACTAATTTCCAACTCAAAGATTAGACACCGATTTTTCAGCCAGTCCTCTAACATGCCTTAGGGCAATGGTGAGGACCCGACTGTTTAGAAAATATGACCTTCCAAAAGTGTGACGTGGTGAATCGTAGTCTGTAGCGGCCTCCGTCTCGGATCTTAAATTGCTTGACCAGTTTAACAGCTCTTCGTTTGGAAAGGACCTACGTAGGTGCATAGCAGCATTATTTCCCTAAAAAGGGTAACTGAAAATCAGTCTACATATGTACAAAGTATGTTAGCATACAATTTTAGCATACAAATAGAGAGATGCCTGACCTATATAACTTGTTTTGGGGCTACTATTATTTCCAAAGCTTCAAGTATGAAATGATGACGAAAATGTGCTAAGAACCAGCAGTAAATGTCCATATAGGACAGATTTCCTTGTCCGAAATAGTTTTTGTTTTGCCGCCCTAAAATTGCATTGGATGCCTTAAATATTCCAGGCTGTGTGCTGTTTGTACTTCCAGGTGCACGGAGTTTTGCTGGCAGGCATAAGGATGAACTAGAACCTTATAGTCCGTCAGACTGCGATGAAAACATCACAACCACATCAGTCACCGGCGCGTATTCAACTTCGAGGGACACCCGCAGTTGTAGAGGGGGTGTTCAGTGTATTCAGTGTATTCAGCAACGCCGATACTCAACAAGAAGCTCAGGAATGACGGGAGGAACGCCGGAGTACAGCCATGTGATCGTCGGCGCTGGCTCGGCCGGCTGCGTGCTGGCGAACCGCCTGTCCGAGAATCCGGACAACTCGGTCCTCCTGTTGGAGGCAGGCCCGAAGGACCACACCTGGACCATCCACATGCCGTCGGCAATGCGGTACAACCTCGCCGGCGATAGGTATTTTTGGATTTTCGGATTTTTTTTTTAATTTCAACAGTGCAAACTTTAATAAGTAGAGAAAGTCGTGTAAAGTTCCCAAGGGCACAAGATCGGTGGCATGTCAGGACTCGAACCCGGGATCTCTTGGTTCCGAATCGAGCATGCACTCTAGATCTGCCGTTGCGCCACACAACCCCACTTGAGGGTATGTTTATATACCAGTGAGGTTTCATGTGCTACGAACTGACTCGTCTGACGGGTCCTGGACCTCTTGGCCTAGTGGTTATGGCGTTGGCTCCCCAAGTGTGTTTGTATGTGCTTTAGATTCGAGGACGAATCTTGACAAGAAAATGGGTAAAAGGGGGAGTAGTGTAAAAGTAAGGGTTCATGTACTATGAACTTACTCGTCTGACGGACCTTTTGGCATAGTCGTTCAATAGGGTGGACCTTTTGGCATAGTCGTTCAATAGGGCGGACCTTTTGGCATAGTCGTTCAATAGCGCGCTGGTGTCGTGAGCTGTCCCAGTGCCCGGGTTCGATTCCCGGCGTCAGGGGTTTTCCTGTTTCTACTCGCTCCTACATGTTTCAGGTACAACTGGCGCTACCACACCGCACCGCAGGAACACATGGACAACAGGGTGATGTACTGGCCTCGGGGCCGGGTGTGGGGAGGATCCTCGTCCCTAAACGCGATGGTTTATATCCGCGGGCACGCGCTGGACTACGACCGCTGGGAGAGAGAGGGCGCGGCGGGGTGGGCGTACGCAGACTGCCTGCCGTACTTCCGCAAGGCCCAGACGCACGAGCTTGGTCCCGACGACTACCGAGGCGGGGAAGGGCCTCTGCACGTCTGTCGCGGCAAGAGCAACAACCCTTTGAACAGAGCCTTCATAGAAGCTGCCCAACAGGCGGGTTCCTAATTTTATTTTACTTCACTGTCTCATTTACTGACTCAACATCGTGTACGCCTCCTCCACAGACTTTCCTAGCCTCCATGGCAGGCTTGTAGAACTGGGGGTTTGCTGTGTTTGTTTTGTTTGCACGTTGAAATAAATATAGAAAAATTCGAATTCCTCATGAAACTTGACAAGCCATGTATCATTAGCTCAATATGTTCGTACATCTTTAACTGCATCAAGAAGCGAGAAGAAGCTGAACATGTAAATAGTAGATCACATTACTATTAGTATGTATAGTTTGTAAGTGCATGTCATTGCTATATTCTTTTCCCTGTTTATCCATGACCTGTACTTAGCTTGTTAGAGCACAAACGTACAATAAAGGTCTTTCATTCATTCATTCATTCATTCATTCATTCAATAAAAAAAACACAGGCGGGTTACCCTCACACAGACGACATGAACGGTTACCAGCAGGAGGGATTTGGAGAGATGGACATGAACGTGCGGAAGGGGGTCCGCTGGAGCACGGCTAACGCGTACCTGCGACCCGCGCTGAGGAGGACCAACGTGACGGCCGAGGTGAGGTGCGTGGCGACGCGAGTCCTGTTCGAGGGCAGCCGGGCAGTGGGGGTGGAGTATCGGCGGAACGGGGAGACTAAACAGGTCGGTAGACTTATAGTCGTAGCCTCTACAAGCGTTCGGGAGGCAGCTGGAAAGAGTAGATATTGGCCAAATAGAGATATAACATGCCGAGGTAGTTGGTCCGATAGAGAGTGCCTTTTGCCGCACCCAAACCGGGTGTGAACAACTCACACGATATGTTTTATCTCTATTTGGCCAATTTCTACTCTTTCCTGACGCCTCCCGAAGCCTGGTAGGGGCAATTATAGTTGTAGAGTTTAAGCTTTCTTCCAACACAAGAAGGGAACTCACCATAAATTTTCGGTTGATCTCGATCCTCAACATTCGTCAGATGTGTGATGCACTCGTTGACTATCCATATTAAAGTCGAAAGCCTGATCATGAGTGAATCAAAAGTACGTAAAGGTGGGTAAACTGAACAAAGAGACTCTTTTTACACAACCAAGAGCTTTATTATGTGGTTGAAAGGAAGGTTTCCGCTATACAGGTGCGAGCGGCAGCAGAAGTCATCCTGTCGGGCGGCTCCATCAACTCCCCCCAGCTGCTGATGCTGTCAGGGGTCGGCAACGCTGATGATCTGCGGAAGCTGGACATCCCCGTTGTCCAACACCTACCAGGTTCGTTCTAGACTGATGTAGTGGTAATATGACGTTTTATTCATTCTGTATACTTAATGTCTTGAATTCTAAATTGCATTTTATAGATCCTGTATTATATAATATTTTGTGTCAGAAGTTTTGAATTGGTCAATGTACATGCAAGTCGATTTTGTCTCCATCAGGCTGATCATAGTAGAAATCGGCCTGGCCTGAAATTGGATATAACTAGTTATAGCCAGGGGAGTTATCCTGCCATAGAAGGACCAGTCTGCTGGACGGCAACTGTCGTGGCTAGTTATATCCCCTTCTACTACTTATTCAGCAAGAGAAGCCACGTGACAAATCTCACTGGGTCAGTCTATTGAGGAAGACCAGAGTGACTGGTCATACTAAGCTCTGGGTGAGAACATTTCTCTTTCGTGTTGGAACAAACGTTTTAAAACTTTAAACATGCGTCCTCGTATTAAAACAGGTGTAGGACAGAACCTCCAGGACCACCTGGAGATCCATGTGCAGCAGGCGTGCACCCAGCCCGTCACGCTGTACAGCGCACTCCAGCCGCACCGCATGCTCATCATCGGCATACAGTGGTGTGTTTGTTTTTGTTTATTGCATCCATCATGATGGATTGTCATGAAACTACGGAGGTGGGTAGGTCTTGATGAGCTTGGGCGATTTGGGGCTCCTTGGTGGCTTTCCTTGGTACTGCAGCTGAATTTCGTGCTAGGGTCATGAATTTAGATAGTAGGTAGCCCTTGTGCTCGGCAAGAAGTCACGTGAGGTTAGGCCCCCTAGCAGCTTCTTCTGGAACTACAGGACGGTTTGTTTAAAAATCTTCGAGAGAGGATAACTACTACGGTCACGTGTCTCTGACGTCACGTTCCAAGAGTAGACAGGTCCATTCCGTGAACAAGGTTGAAGGAGTCAGCAGAAAATGTGGGTTAAGTCCCAATTCATTCCAGTGTTGGAAGGAAAGTTTATTCCTTACCTCAGAACAATTATATGAGTAAACTCCTTTCCTCACCATAAAAACTGAAAGGTTGACGACGCAGACCGGTCTGGGCGCCACGAGCCACATGGAGGCGGGCGGGTTCATCCGGAGCCGGGCGGGGGTGCAGCATCCCGACATCCAGTACCACTTCCTGCCCTCCACCATCAACGATCACGGCAGGGTGGCGGGGAAACAGCATGCGTATCAGGTAGGGCCCAACAGGTAGTCTCCATCTATGACTAACAACTATAAAAATATAGATTTTGCCAGAAATTCTACAGTATCATATGGTGTTGGTGATTCACATCAAGTTATCCGGTAAGAAGACGGGCGAACCGTTCGCCTGTCTTCATAAGACTCAGGGCCTCAACCACTCAGCAACATGCAGTGATCTTTACATGGACCACGCTTATTCACACGGACGGAGACCTGGCAACCACGTCTTGTATCAGCCAACGGAAGGGTACATCATCCGGTAGGGAGCAGTAACCCCGACCAATACGGTCGACTGATGATTATGATGGCCAGGAACTGTGAAATGATAATGACTTTTTGTGACTTCACATGTCCGTACATTACAGGTTTCGTCATATGCATGTAGTTGTTTGGTGACCTAGGCCTGAAATCTTAGATCACGCCGATCATATCACGTGCTCTATGTTCTTCTATGTTCCAGGTCCATGTGGGACCGATGCGCCCGACCAGCCGAGGATACCTGAAGCTGAAGACTGCAAACCCCCATACACACCCTCTGATTCAGCCGAACTACCTGTCCACGCAGCAGGACGTGCTGGAGATGCGGCTGAGCGTCAAACACACGCGGGAAATATTCGCACAGAAGGCCTTCGACCCGTTCAGAGGAGCAGAGATTGGGCCAGGTGAGAACTTATACAGTATCTTTTATCTTAGGCCGCAGCAAAAAAATGTATGGATGGCACTCTCCACAGGCTCCAAATCTAATGCGATAGGGCGAAAAAAAACAATCCGGGTGAGAACTTATACAGTATTTTCATCTCATTTCAAGGAAGCTGACAGTGTCGACTGCACTGCACGAAAAGTGGGATTAACCATTAGTGATAAATGCGTTTTCGAGCTCGCAGACTTTAGTCTGGGTGCCATCCGATTTGTAACGAAGCTCCTTACACTCGCTGACCCCAGGCTAAGCAGACGCAATTTTTCTGCTCTGTGACACCGACGTGAGGTCCTTTCATCTCATGTAACCAACCATAAATGTAGTACTGAGAAAACACAAATGTCCGCACTACAGGGCTAGAACTTTATCAGGACATTGAATGATGTAAACTTTATCTTATATTTTGTCTGACTCTTCCCTCATGACCTCCATGAAAAGCGGCTAGGCCGATTTGAGCTTTTCATGAATAACAAATTGTTCAAAAAAACAAAATCTTGATGATCAGACTTTCATCATTTTTTTTTTTTTTGGTCTTGCAGGACACAGTGTCCAGTCGGACAAGGAAATCGACGCGTACGTGCGCCAACACGCCGAGAGCGGCTACCACTCGTGCTGCACCTGTAAGATGGGCGCCGAGTCGGACAGGACGGCAGTGGTGGACCCGGAGACGCGCGTGCTCGGGGTGGAGAACCTGCGGGTTGTGGACGCCTCCATCATGCCGAGTATAGTCAGCGGGAACCTTAACGCCCCCACCATCATGCTGGCGGAGAAGGCTGCTGATATCATCAAGGGGGAACCGCCGCTTCCAAAATCCACGGCGCCGGTGTACAGACCAGAAACGTTAGAGGCGCAGAGATAGAGGGTTTTCAAACGTTTCAGATGTTTATGTTTTCTACTTTCACAGAAGGAAAACATGTTGTTTCTACTCGAGTAATATTCTTCACCAAATGAAGGTCAATGACCTGGACCAGACGTCTGTCCCCGTGGTAACTGGTGCTGTAGCAAACACTCTGTGGTGTTGGGTTACATTAAGGAAACGTTTGAGAATAAGAGAACCTGCGGATTGTGGACGCCTCCATCATGCCGAGTATAGTCAGCGGGAACCTTAACGCCCCCACCATCATGCTGGCGGAGAAGGCTGCTGATATCATCAAGGGGAAACCGCCGCTGCCCAGATCCACGGCGCCGGTGTACAGACCAGAAACGTTGGAGACGCAAAGATAGAGGGTTTTCAAACGTTTTTTTTTTGGGGGGGGGGGCTGCCTTGTTTTCTTTTCGCCCGAAAGCATTAGATTTAGAGTCTACGGAGGTTGTCATCCATAAAATTTACTTGCTCTGGCCTTATACTGTCATGAACTACGATGGAGGCGCAAAGATAGATGGTTTTCAAACGTTTTTTTTTTTTTGGCGTGCCTTTTTTTTCGCCCTATCGCATTAGACTTGGAGTCTACGGAGGTTGTCATACAATTTACTTGCTCTGGCCTTATACTATCATGAAAGTTCACCAGGCTTGAAGTCCACGGAGGATGTCAAAGATAGAGAGACAAAGAGTTTGGACATCTTTTAGATTTGAGAAGGAGGCAACGGCATTTTAAAGGCGCCCTAAGTATTATCGATATCATAGCATTGAAACTGGAAATATTCTTAACAAAGCAATCTGTATGTATATGATATTGAGATATTTAAGTATAGCCTGGGTGCCACAATGTAAACTGGTTCGAGGCCATTTTTACTCTAGTTCTTTCTTTAAAATTTTCTTGACAAAGACTGGTCCTTTACCCGTTAGGAATTACAGTACATTCAGGTATCGAGGGAGATAGCTAATTACAGAAGCGCCAGCTAGGTAAGGTTTCTTCAGGTTGTGTTTTATAAGAAAGATATTTTCAAATCAGATGAAATTATTCAAGCAAGTCTTCCAAGCACACGTATTATTAAGTAACAGAGTATGATATCTTTTTCTGTATATTTGGTATCATTAATACAGATTATTGGGTATGAGGCATTTGATAATGTGTGATCACAGCATTTTCTTTAAAAAAAAGCTGCTACATGTATATATGCTTTCTAAAGCTGCAAGTTTATTTCCTTTTACTAAAGTTTCTAAAGTAAAATGTAATTTTCAGTAGCACCTCAAACCTTGAGGTTGTTATAGGATGACAACTTGGCAATATTGTTAAACTAGGCTGCTTTGTTATGCTCCATTAGGTAACATTAGCTGCCACTTTGGTAGTGGGAAAATACGCTCATATCACATTAAGCAATGCATAAGTTTGGTTGGTGAGTCCCTGACTCGCGGTCCCAGGGCCCGCTCTCGTCCCCATGGTACTTCATGCCCTGTACAGTCACCTCCAGAACTGCACCGTTCTTGTCATCCTCATCCAACAGCTTCGCGAGGCCTTTAACTACGTCAGGAATCCTGAAGAAAAACAGTTTTTTTTTATTCCAACATGTAATCACCAGACGTGGTGACGACACACCCAAGTTTTTTCAACTTATATTAATGCCGCCACCAACACAGGGGACAAATACATGACAGGACAATACTCATTTACACCAGAGCTAAGTGAGAAAAGTCGTGTAAAGTGCCTTTCCCAAGGGCACAAGATCGGTGGCATGTCAGGACTCGAACCCGGGACTCTTAGTTCCGAGTCGCGCACTCTGCCGCTACGCCACACGAGTTTCTATCAATCATAGCTTTAAAGGGTAACAAGAGGTTCAATAAAACATGTTATGTCTGAAAGTTTTGAGCGCTGCCGGTCGTTTGAAGTTGAGGCAGTTCCATAATATCTTAGTTTCTCAAGTAGATTGACGTTGTAGCTACAATGGCATATCATCTATTGCGTGATTTTATTATTGAAATAAACCAGTCATTCATTCATTCATTCATTCATTCATTAATGAAATAGTTACTTACTGCATAAGGCCACCTCCCCTTTCGAGCATGTCCTTCATATGCTGATACTGATCTTCAGGGACTTCAGGGTCGGCGAGGATTGCTGTGGTTGTAAATGACGGACACAGAGCGTTCACACGGACACAGTCCCTTCCCAACTTGTAGTCCATCTAGGAACAAATCATTTAAGTTTTTTTCAGGCTGTGTAACTCAACCTATCGCTGTCCAGTGCTCTATGAGATCCCTTGCATGACCAGATGCGTGATTTAGGCGATACAGTATACATTATAATAACGAAGCCACCAAGTACAGTACAGTACAGGGCATCATCAATGGATAGCTTTAAACAAAGTTTGCAGACAGATGTGAAAAGGTTGGGTGTGACAAGTACTTCGGTGTAAAAGAGCCACCTACTGGCGCACCGCGTGCCTGCAAAGCTGGTGTGTTACACCAAAGGGGGATCTTTCCAGCTATACAGATATAGATACAAATACAAAATGTTGGAGCGAAGGACTTGCGGTCGACATGCTCTCATTGCGTCGTTTTCATATCGTTTCGTATGCCGTATCTTTTCAGTTTTGGTAAAGATAGTGATTAACCTTAATGTACTGGAGTTTAACAAAGTAAGTAACTAACAACAATCCGTTGCACGTACCCCAAGGCTCCTTGTTAGGCCCACAACACCGGCCTTTGTGGTTGCGTACACGGGCGAAGGGAAGGCGTATAAACCTGTGGTGGGAGAAAACAAGTAAGTACCTGTCTAGACATACATTTCATTGAAAACTGGTGCGATCACACACCTGTACATTTTACCATCTTCAGTTATTTTCGATGACTTAGGTTTTGAAATTGTTCCTCAAAGAAATGTTAGTGAATATAATGCTGCGATAGCTAGTAAAAGATTTAGTCGTCCTTTTGTCTGAACAAGTTCCGCAAAACTACTGACGCAAATTGTCATTCGGAACAAAGAAAAACCAAAACATAAGAAGTGTGGGCGAAAAAATGCTAGCAAAACAAACTACTGCTTTTACTCAAACACTCATTCATATAGGCGGTAACCAGCCACTCCAACTCTGTGCTGCCACTTTGGTTACCATGGTGCGGTTACCATGGTGACAATCGTCTGCTCCAGGTCATTGACCTCGTTTTTTCGAACAGACAGAAGAACAAGAGGGAGAAGAAAAAACGGAGCAGAAACAGTTAAGGCCTCTGTGAAGGCAAACATAATGAACACTACATGTACCTGCTACAGACGACATGTTGATGATGAGTCCACCGTTGCCGCCATTTTGTTTTCCCATGTAGCGTAACCCGAGATGACAACCGCGCACCACGGATACCTGATGATGTTAATTTTTTTTTTAATTCAAACATTATTTTGAGGAACGTATACGTAGTACAACACAAAGTGGTAGCGCACTCAGTATCAAGGACTTATTTAAACGCTACAACTTTCACATAACAAAAACACTTAGATTAATGCAAAAAGAATCCAATACAAATGAAGTGCACAACGTTATAAAGAACAAAATAATATGTTGGAAGCTACCAATTCCCCACCCAATGACGAAAACAGTAAAAAAAAATGATACGACACAATTTATAATACAAGGGAAAATTGAGTTTTAGAATCGTTTTGATGCGGTAATGAATTGTTGAGTGAACGACAAAATATTTGAATTTGCAACGGATGAATATAAAGAACTGCCCTGGAGCAGAAAGAAAACGTTCATTCTAAATAACGTTACTTAGAGGTGTCGTCTGAAACCCTACGTTGAAGTTTCCTGCGCTACCACACTACAAACAGAATAGCTTTCAGTACCAAGGACAGCCGCCGCCATTTTGTCAACCTTTATTTAACCTTGAAAGTTACACTGTCGGCCGTGGGAAGTTACATATAGATCTAAGCGCAGCCTTAATGTTATATAGGGAGGATACTCCTACTTTCCTGGGTATCAAAGAGTTCCACTCTATGAGTATTCTAAGAAAAAAAATAGGTATGTAACTTCATATTAACTGATTCTTGAGAAACCCTCCACAACACTATATTTCTTTTAACGAGGCGGCCTTAGAGTACCCTGTGGAATTGATGCTAGTATTATATAACTTACCAAGTTGACGTCGATGCACTTTTCCCACTGAACTTCGTTCAGAATCCCGGCGTTGTTTACAACCAGGTCCAGCCCACCAAAATGATCCACCACTTTTTGGAACGCACCTAGCAGATAAGAAAGGAATCAGCATCTTTGATGTACAGAATGAATTCAAACACTTCAGAAACTTCGAAGAATTCAAACCATCAGAAAGCATTCAGAGCTTTGGTCTACAACGGGCCTACATTGTGGGTCAGAAGCCTTACAGACTGAAAGGTCAAAAGTGTGCAAATGGATACAGACAGGATGGCCAATTTGATACTGTCTTACCCCCACCGAAAGATCTGCTTGGAGCTTAAGTAGCCTCTTCCGGGCTTCAGAAGCGGCTGGAAAAGTGGAAACTGGCCAAACAAAAGATAACATACTAGGCCATAGGGAGTTGGTCCGCTAAAGGGGTACAGTTTGCCTCTCCTTTAACGAACCAACTCTGTCCTGCCACTTGCTACATAATATAGCAAGTGGGCATGTAGCATGTTTTCTCTTTGGCCTTCTTTCCAGCGTCTTCTAAAGCCGGGTAGAGGCTATATTAGGTGGCTACCCCCAGTGACTTGCAGTAATTGTGTGGAAGGACCCCCTTTCTGACTTCAAACATAACAGTAGCATTTGTACCTTCTAGTTGGTCTTTAGCCGTCACATCGCACAGAATAAACGTGCACCTGTCGGCCCCGTACTTCAGGGCGAAGTCAGCCGCTGTTTCTTGTCCTGCCGATTCGTTCGTATCCAACAGCGCCACCTGTCAACGTACATTAAAAGTGCATTGGTACGCATGGAACGGACATATTATCATGGCATGTCATTGTCATAAAATTTGTTGATAATGATCTTTATTTGCAAAATCATGCCCGAAGGCTAATTGCTCTAAAAGGTACAATACAAAAATAGGGAACTACTGTCTGTTTACTTCTACTACTATGCTTGCTGTTAATATTATGAGGTTTGCTTTCTGAAGGCAGTGGATAATGAATAGTCCCACGTTCTGTGTAATGAGTGGGTTTTGTGATCTGCGTAGGAACACAGTCTTTTTGTGATTTTCAGGGTGATAAAAGGATGGATAAATTGTGGTAACTGTTTGAAATAATCTGTTTCTGTTAATATCTCAACGCTCGCTATATAAAGGCTTTTTTATTTTGTCACTTAAAGAAAGTCTAACACTAACAAAACGTGTAAACACGTCCCAAATCAAGCAATGTTTTATGTGGTACTAAAAAGGGCGGCACCAAGGTAATCTAGGTCAAACCAGGCTCGGAGTGTACTAGTATTGACAAGTACACAACCTTACTAGTACAATGTATACTTTCAATGTCTCCGTGGCGATTACCTAGTTTTTACCAGACTAACCAGGCTGGCTACAGGGGGAATATTTGCCAGCTGATGATTTTGGAAACCATAGAGTTAATTTCCCGCGCCGTTCCAAGCCATGGGCAATGAAGTTACACTTACAGAGAAGTCTGCACCAGTAGTCTCCATGGCTACCTTTCCAGAGACTTCTAGGTAGGCTGAATAAATAGTCAAAATCGGCCTAACGCCAGGGGAATTAGCCGGTAATAGCCGGAATTAGCCGGTAATAGTAGGCCAAATTGGCATGGCATAGGCAGATTTCAACTATTTATTCAGCCTGCCAAGGAGTCTGGTGGAGACTACAGTACAAAAATGTACTTACAGGAGCTCACTCCGCTGGACAATTATGACCAACTATTGACCATATTTTTTTTACCGATTTCTGCCGTCCATAACTCCTTCGGAAAGCCTGGTGGAGGCTAGTGCTTACCTTCGCTCCTCGCTCAAGAATAGCCTCTGCGCAGCCCTTCCCCAGGCCCTGAGCGGCGCCGGTCACCAGCGCTACCTTTCCAGAGAGCTGCATGATGCTACTGCGAAGTGTCCTTGTGTGCTTTTCGTCCTTTCGTCCTCGTTAAATTGTCTGCTTTCTTGTTGGACCAGTCTTCATTGTGTTTACCTTTTAATACGTGGCTTTTGACCCACTGAAGACCAATTAAATGAAAATTAGGGTCGGGCTACCGACAACTACTGCTAGTGTTACACACCTTTTCAACGGAGTGTCTTACAAAGTTTGGAAAAGGTTGTTGTACAGATATTTTGCATATTGGAACAGATGGATTTCTTCAACTGCAACTGCAGAAAAACACACAAAAAAAATTAAAAACGTGGAAGGCAATGCCGGCGCGCCTCAGTGCTAATCGCTGACCTTGGGAAGAATAAGATTTTATCACCAGTGCCTTTTTGTTTGCGTTTGTTGATCCCCCAACTGATTGGTGGCAGCTAGGCTATCAAATTGGCAGGGCCTCAGGCAGTATCCATTAAAAAATGCCAGTACAAAAAGATAGCCTCATAGAAACGCCCCAAAACACATCAAAAATAAGCCTAAGCCTAAACCTATGCATATATGATAATAATCTGTTCTATTCGTCTGATGCATTCTTTAATATGTGGCATCCGGCGTAGTCTCCACCAGACTCCTTTGCAGGCAAACTCCTCTGGCCAATGACGACCCATTTTTTCTACTACTTATTCAGCCTGCAAATGAGTCTGGTGGAGACTACATCCAGCGCAGCCACCGATCGTTTTGTTTTGTTGTACATTTTCATACGACGCATACGTGTGTCGTCACAGCCTGATCTAATTGCTTTACTCGGTTCCAATCGAGATCTAATTGCTTGTCCCGACATGGGTTAGTTTAATAACATTACTGTGTTTCATTACTGCTGGTCTGGTCAGTGCGTACAGACATGATTAGAGCAGTCTAGTCAGCAGGGACGTCAGCTAACACCAGTCAGTTTAAATTTTTAGCGGGCTGCAAAGCAAATAAGAATACATGTATTCTGGATGAGTGAATCTGGCTGATATTGACATCTGCTGCCATCTCTTGTCAATTCTTCATCATTCCCAACTGCCGAAAAATAAACTACACGAGGAGTCCCTTTATTTTTGGTACCATTGTATTATGTGTGTTCCACAGCCACGCTCTGTCTAAGGCCATGTTGATTTGATTATATGGATGACATCCTCTGGGAACCCCAAAACTGATGCCCGCGTGCGAATAAAAAAAAAGTTTTGAAAAAAAAAAAGTTGTTTTCATTATGAAATCTACGTGGTCAAGAAGGTGGAACAAATGGCACAGAATATGGTATGGCGAATAATCTACTCTTCGAATTCATTTCTTTACATTTTTGTCCTTTTTCCTTTGATTTTGGCATTCTACGACATTGGTATCGTTTCTAAATGTTTTTCTTGCAACTTATGGTATATTTTTGCTCATTTAGCAACTGTTTTGTACGATTTACAGTATGGTTGAAAACTTTTTTTTTTGGAAACGGCCGAAAATTCATTCGCGCGTGGATGTCATCCATATAATCAAATCAACATGGCCTACGGACATGGCCTTGACAGGCTGCAGTTCAAATACGCACCGCTAAGTGACGCTGATGCAGCTTTGCCTCACTGGTTTCAAGCTACATGTGCTCTTTTTTGCACCAGTATATTGGATTGGCGTAAAAAAAATATATATATATACCAGTGCAAAAAAGAAAATCTGATAAAAAAGACAAAAATAAGCCAAAGCCCAAACCTCTGCTTGGAGAGTAGCAAGAAACCTTCTTGTTCTTTCTAGGACAGATCACGGCTGGTCAAAAATAAAAAGAGGGGAAAAAATCGATACTAAAGTCGCCCCATTAAAGTGACAATCAAATCACTGACGATGACAGACGGGCGGTGCAGGCGAGACAGACGGTCTGACTTTTACAGCAAATTACGCAACGTCGGTAGATCCTCATAAATCAAACGGCGTCTTCGTCTGAAAAAATACGTCTTCGCAGTTTGCGACCTTAGCCTGGATGCCAGACTGCTTCGAGGGTCATGTCATGACATCTCAGATCCTCGGCTCCAGGTAATCTCCAAGCAGATTTTCCGCTGCAAAGACAGTATCAATTTGGCCAGGTAGTATCCATTTGCCAGACAGTATACTGGCGAAAGGTGGTTATACATAATCTATAAGAAGATCTTAAGATCTTTTGATGGCTGCAAGACAGTATCAAATCAGCAACACGTATCCATTAGCTGTGGTGAAACAAAAGATATTTGTACAAAAAATAAAGCCAGATAAAAACGCCTACAACACGTCAAAAATAAGCCAAAACACGCCAAAAACTAGAAAGGTAACATTTGCAAAGCAAATGCATAATGTTTCCTTCGTATATGGTCTGCTCTGTTGATTCTTACTCAAACACATTCATATATATGGTAACATGAGTCTAAATCCCTCCTGTTATAAAATTGCAACATGTTGTAACCAAAAAGTAGTAACCTAAAAACCCCTACTTACACCGTTACCGTAGGTTATACCGGCTATACAGAATACAAATCGACGACACTAAAAAATTCACAAGTTGCGTTGGCCGGGAATCGAACCCGGATCTACTGCTTGGAAGGCAACAATGCTAACCATTACACCACCAACGCCTGCTTACACCATTGCCAACTCGAGTCGACGTCATTAAACGTATTACGCATCGTAATCTACGCATAGACGCGTACGTGCTATCCTGGAGACACTTCCAGCATCACGCAAGCACAAGGCACCAAGAGCTAAATACCTGGAGAGACAAGTTAACTCTGAACTGAACCAAGC